GAGGGTTGAACCCACAAATATAATTGTGTTGTTGGGATTTATTAGATAAGATAAATATATGAATTCAGTAAGATATATTGAAAATAAATGTTAAAAAGGTTTGACTGAAATTACGTAAAAATAAATAAATATTGAAATTAGTTAAAGAGCATCTTGCAGGAATTATTCGGTACGGGCCCTTCGGTTCGGTACACGTGTGTACCGAAGTGTACCGAACGAATATAACGTTAAACGTAAACAATTGAGAACGTGAAAACTTTTTGGTAATTTGCTCACATTGGGTTCAACGCGTCATAGAGCGAGCAAGTCATTTCATTGGACGAGAGGCATACTATGAGAGTTGGTCAGAGGGATGCGTTCAAATGTAGTCAGTAATTTGAGGAACTGTCGAAATGGCGAACGCAGATAAAGTTGAGCTCGAAAATCCTCCAGCATCATTGAAGTCTCCGGTTTGGGAACATTTTGGTTTCGCAGTTACGTACAAGGATGACGGACAAAGACAGGTGGACCGAACCAAAGCTGTTTGTCGGCATTTTTCAACTAAAATTGGTTACGCGGCTGGCAATACATCAAACTTGCACACTCATTTGAAAAGGCATCACCCGAACGTGAATATCACCGGTACCAAAAAAAAAAAGACTGAAGCGCAAACCCAACTCCCTCTAGCATTTAAGCCTCCACCACTCGCAAAAAGTTCAGACCGAGCCAAAGCTATTACAAACGCCAAATATCCTTATGTTGCCATGTTAGCAAAGCGCTACCTGGCTGTATCTGCTACCTCTGTCCCTAGCGAGAGGGTGTTCTCCACAGCAGGAGACATTGTTAGTGCCAGCAGATCTGCCCTTTCGGCAAGCAATGTGGACAAGTTAATTTTTCTTTAAAAAAACATGAAAATACAATGACAAGCAAGTCATGATGTCAAACTGGCTGCTTAGGTAATAGTACAGTTCAAATACAGATTATTTCAGTTCATCGAAATGCTGCACCTTAATGTTTATTTTATTTTGTACTTATTTGAGTGAATACATTATTCACAGTTTAATAATAATAAAAAATATATATATATATATATGTTATGTTTTGTGATAATTGTTTCTGCTGTACCGAAAACGTACCGAACCGTGACCTAAAAACCGAGGTACGTACCGAAACGAAATGTTTGTGAACCGTTACACCCCTTATAAATATAGTAAAATCCTACTACCCATGATTTATAAGATCTTATTTTTAGATTTCAAAGAATTAAGTTAATGCCTTTTAAGACTTTAGGCATCTGCTGAAACCCTGTTTCAGCAAAGTCATAAAAAGTTACCATCAGCTGAATCTTCCTTTAGCTCCAGCATCTCAGAGAAGTCTTCCTTAGTTTTCTGCCCCTCCTCTTCCTCCATCTTCCTCTTCTGCTCCTCCTTCTTCTTCTTGCGTTTCTCCTTACGCTTCTCACGTTTAGCAGCCAGAGCTTGCTTCTTGCTCTCCTCTCGGGACTGTCGAAAACAAGACAGAGTTTTATAAACGTTATTTTTGTGCTCATCCACTCTGTGCTGCCTATTCAGAATGCTTTAACCACTAAAAAACCAGCCATGAGGTCTGATATTACCTTCTCCAAGTCTAACTCCTTGAGGAGGATGCTGGCGTTCTTGTTGGCCTCGGCTGCCTGCTGGTCTTTGGCTTTAACGATGGTCTCCATGCACTGGTGGCATTTCTTCAACAGCTCCTACAACAACAGGAAACCAACGCTGGAGTTAAAGCTCTGCTAACATCTTCGTCTGATCTGTGAGTTATATAGAGGAGACCAATGACTTAAAAATAAAATCAACCTACCTTGTCAGCGATGGTAGCGATGTATCTCATGCACTCGATATCTGATGGGAATTGATTGACTTCCTTTACAAGATACTGCACCACCTTCACGTGACCCTGAAATGATAGGTAGAATGATTAGTAACCAAAGCTTGCCAAAGTGTATAATGACACACTAACAATCAGGGTTTGGGTTCAATCTGCACCTTGCGAAAGGCCGCCATGAGTGGAGTAATCTTGCGGTTGTCGGCCGCATCCACATCAGCACTGGCATGCACCAAGAGCTGAACCACATCAAAATGACCACCATTTGCCGCCAGCCACAGGGGGGTGTTCCCTTTCTTGTTTCGTACATCGATATGGGCTCCCCTACAAAGACAGGAAGAGACATTGGCGTCACATGAAAGGCATAGCAGCTTAAAGGTAAGAAAAGGCAGGTGGCAACATGTGGATAAATCTTGAGGTGAAGCCTGTTAAATCGTCAAAGTAGTAAGTTAGCCTTTATCTCATCAGCATTCACTGTGTAAAACCTGATGTGACAAAAGGACCATCTGTAGTTGAATAAAGACCAGCTAATAACCTGCACTGCGTTAACTCTCAATAGGAAAATGATAGCGCGTTTCCATCTAATTTACACATCAAAAGAGACTGGCGATAATATTGCTAAAAGAAGATGATAAAGTGGTCCTGTAAAGAAGCACTCACCTGTTGATAAGCAGCTCACAAAACTTGTAGTGGCCCTTGTCAGCAGCAATAGTAAGGGCAGTGTCTCGGGATGAGGGGACAGGGGGAGCGTTGACGTCGGCGCCTTTGTCCAGAAGCACTCGACCCACTTCTGCATAACCTCCTGAGGCCGCCTCCATCAGAGGAGTAAGACCGGTCTGAATAGGAAGGGAAATGTTACTGAGCAAGATGGCAACCTGAATCGTGTGTTCAGCCAGTGTAGGATGATTACATACGCAACAGTCAGGTCTGGAACTTGGTTGATGTGATCCGGACCCCTTACCTTAGCGCGATGCTCCACATTGGCCTTGCGATCGAGCAGCAGACTAACGACCTCAGCCCGCCCCTGGAAGCAGGCGAGGGTCAGAGCCGTGTTTCTGTTGGTTTCGATCTGGGCATTGATGTCCGAGCCCATATCTAGCAACAGCTTCACCGCTGGTACATGACCGTTCATGGCCGCCAGCATCAGAGGAGAGATTCCCAACTTACTGCCAGTCCTGGGGAGAAAGTGAATAAACAAATAATTAAGAGACCAAGTGCCAACAAAACTTTGTAATGTGCCAAAAGCACTTTCTATTCTTGGGTCTAGGTTTCAGTGTATATTAATGTTTTACTGTAGTTTAGCAACTGGACTTTTTACAGATCGGCATTTTATCAAAGTAGCAGATGCTAGAAAGCCTTGGTTTGTACGTTAGTTTCTTTCCACACTCCTGATTTATAACTTGGTTAATAACTATGGTTTTACTTCTAGGTGTGGCTGAAACCCAAAAGGAACATTTTACAGAGATGTTTTTGTTTGGGAAAGTGCTACCACGTTCACTTCCAGGAACATATCATTTGTTCACATTTAGATTACATTTCAAGAGTTTATACTGATAACAAATCTAATGCCATGGTTCCTGTCGCTCACCTGGAGTTTATCTCAGCTCCAGCATTGAGGAGTATCTTGATGATGTTGACGTAACCCCCAGAGGCTGCCAGGCTAAGAGGCGTGTAGTCGGAAACATTGCGGTGTTCCTTATTGGCTCCCCGCAGCAGCAGCAACTCCACCACCTGACCAAGACCAATGACAGTTTTATAGTGAGAGCCAGGGGAAAAAGATGAACAGAAAACGTCACTATTGTGAAGGTTTACTGAAAGACAAAGGGTTTACCTCCTGGCGTCCCCCAGAGCAGGCGAGGGAGAGGGGCGTGTCTTTGGTTCTCTCTGACTGAGCCTCAATGTCACCCCCTTTATCCAGAAGCACCTCCACTACTCCTACGTGTCCAGCAGTGGCGGCCAGGATCAGAGGAGTAAAACCTGTCAAGAACAAACAATATGAGAAATTGTCGATTTCTTAATCCATGAATTTAATTCCAACTCATACCCCGGTATGTTTTATTATGAGGCTTTCATACCTTTTTTGTCCCGGTGCTCAATGTTGGCTCCCCGTGCAATGAGGACAGATACGAGTTCCTCGTGTCCTCCTGCACACGCCAGCGTCAGCGCTGTGTCATGGTTGCTCTCCGTCTGCGGGGAAAGTAAAAACTCTTAACAGGGCTAGAGGACTGTTTGTACATACATGTTCTCACTGCAATGTCAACATCAAGAGCTTTGTCGAGTCAAATTTGGCATCGTGTCTTACATGTGCATCAATGTCGACAGAGGGGTAGAGGGGCAGGACTGACGGGGGCGAGGAGATGTTTGAGGGCATCTGTGTGGGTGGCTGGGACAGGGGCGTGGGCGAGGTTGTAGTGTTCAGCATGGGCACACGACTGCTCACAGCTGCAATAAAAAACAAAAGGTAAAAAAGTTACAGTGACATACAGATGAGGGATTTGGAAGACACTTCGAGAGTCAACTCAAGTCACCTGTTAACAGGAATGCACTTACCCGCCATGATGTCGTCCAGCGTGTCTGTGAGCGTCTGTGCAGGTGTGGCTACCATGAGCCCATCCGGGGCCTGCTGAGGGATCATCCCTGGGCCTAGCCCTCCCAACTGTTGACCCTGTTGCTGCTGGCCCAGCATCTGCTGCCCCACCAGTACCCTCTGCAGCTCTGGGCTGGTGCTTCCCGGGTAGTCCGCAGGGTTGTAGTCCGGTAGCGGCTGGATAGGGACGAAGGCGTTCTGCAGAGGCAGAGGGGGGGGCTGGGGCTGGGCCTGCGGCGAGGGGGGCAGAGGAGGCTGCTGTGGTGGCTGAGGCCCATCCCTGTAGAGGATTGTGCCCACCTGAGGAAGCTTGGGGTAATCGTCTTCTTCTCCGTCCGCTTCGTCCTCTGAGCCCTCGTCTTCGTCGTCTTCGTCCTCATCCTAAAACAGTATAGGAGTCTCTCATGTAAATAAACTGCTTTGGGACTCAGAATTAGCATCATAATGATTAACAAACCAACAAACAAAATGACTGAAGGTTTCACCTCTTCCCCTTCCTCTCCTGGCTGCTCGTCTTGCTCCCCATCTCTGTTAGCCTCTTCATCCGTGTCAGAGCTAGTGTGAACTTGTGCCCCTGCGCAGGGAAGGGGCCCGGCCGGAGACGATCCGGGGCCCGGGCCCTGACTCTGTCCGGCCTCCTCCTCCTCCTTTAAACCCTTCGCCTCCATGTACTCTTTGGTGAACTGTTGCTGTGTTTTTAGCTGTAGCTGTCGCTCCACCTTCTGCAGCTCCTTCAGGATTTTCTTCTTCTTCTGCACCTAAGTGGGGAACAGCCACATCCGTGGTTGACTAACTTCTGATATGGTGCTATGCATTTAAGTCTTAACTTGCTTGTAAAAAGGTAACATCTATCTTACTTAAGCTTTTCATGCAAATAACATTTAAATGTGAACTTGATTGTTAAAGGTAACATTCATCTTACTTAAAGAACGGGAAAACAATATTCAAATTGGGATACGATCTTAAATCGATGATGGATTATACCTGCTCCTCTCTGCTCTTCTTCAGCTCCTCAATCTTGTCTTTGGTGAGCGGCTCCCCCTGAATGAGCTCAAGCGACTGCAGCTGGGCCTTCTCGATGGCGCTGATTCTCTGGCCCAGCTCGTTCAGCTTTCCCTCCGTCTCCTCCACAATGCACTCCAGAGGCTGGCATAGGTGGAAGGGCGGCAGAGGCTCGGCTTCAGGCCCCCGGCCGCCTGAGCTGGGGACACCGGGCTGAAGGGCCGCTTGTCTCTGTTTTGACCCGCCTGGATTCGAACAATAGAGAACAATAAGTAGAGTATTTGGATTGCTAAGCGGCTAAATGAAGTCTGTAACTCCATTTTGTGAGTACACTCACTGGGAGACAGGACTTTGACAATAATAATGACCTTTGCTGGAGACGGGTGGGGGTGTGGCGATGTTTGATGGGGCTCGGTCTGGCTCCTGAGGGGGCACTACCATGGCGAGAGATTGGAATGGGACACGAGGAACCTGTGACAGAAGTGGACATGTTAGTTTGAAACAATCAAAAACAACTATAAGAATTGCCTTGAACTAAAAACAGATATATTCCTCATAAGAACATTGACAGAAATTGTGATTTACTCCTCTATTTACCTGAGAGGCATCTTGCGAGGGGGGAGTGAGCTGGGAGAGGTCGGGGGCTGGGACAGACAGGATGTTGTTGGGGTAGTCCAACAGGTAGGACACCACATTCGTGTGGCCTCCCTTAGCAGCTTCTATCAACATGGTTGAACCATCCTATCAAAGAGAAAAATATGCAAGTTTCTATATTGTGCATAAATATTGCAAAATCAAACTGGTCTAATCTGTATCCGGAGTGTGTGCATTACTTTGAGTCTGTGTGTAGGATCGGCCCCATGTGCCAGCAGCAGCTCCACCACAGCCAGGTGTCCTCCAGCGCAGGCCAGCGACACCACTGTGTGGTCATTGTTGGCTGTAGCTCTGTTCACGTTAGCACCTGTAAGAGAAGAGGCAAGATCTCATTAACTCATTGTGGACGATATACAAGTCTTATTGTTACATGCACAAAAGCAAACTCATTAGCAAATGAAGGGCTAAGGTATTTGTGTAAAATGTTTAAGAAAGGTTTAGTGTGAAAATACACCAATAAAAGTACTGTAAATAAAAATCAACAAATCCATTACATGTGTCTTAACTCTTACAAAAGGTCAAGTGCATAATCTAAATATATTCCATATATTGTTTTACAAATATTTAAATCCGTAGTTTAAAATACATATTTCAAGCTTTTGATCTCATGTAATTATATTGGAAAAGGAAAAGTCTTGAGCATATTTAAATTCTGAAACACACCTTTGCTGATAAGGAACTGCACTGTACACAGATGTCCTGCCCTCGCTGCCTTCATTAAGGGCGTCCGCCCCCCCTCAGACTCGTGTTCCTGGAAGACAGAGGTGAGGAAGTGTTTGTTAGAGTTAGGTTTAGTCCAGTTAAACAAAACATGTGCTACTTCACAAATGCAGGGGAAAAAAATGGAGGTGCTCTTTTGATCAGATCCACATATCGTGACACCAAAACAAGAGATGTTAGACTTTTACTTAGCTTTGTGATCAATAATTCATAACCAAAAAAATACAGATTTGCAACAATTGAAAGCTTTTAATAAATGGGCTTAGTGCCTAAGCATTTTGGTTCAGTCTTTTTCAGGGCATACAGGAAATGTTCTGATCATGCCTTGGAGAAGACAAGTACAAGTGTAACCTGTCTTTTATGGTGTCATGTTATACAAATGTGACTCAGCAGAAAAACACTGCAGTAACACTAAAAGCTTCAGATAATAGATTTGCTCACTAAACACATTACACATCTGTTGAGATGCTGTTTTTATTACAAAGAGGATTTAGGAGGATGGCGTACCAAGTTGGCTCCAGCCTGCAGCAGCACATCCGCCACGTCCGTGTGTCCGTTCTCACACGCATACGTCAAAGCTGTGTCACCCGTTGCTGTTGTGGCATGAACGTTCGCCCCTAAATGACAAAAACCAAGAGATTAGCATTTTAAGCACAGCGGTGTAACTCACACATTTTGAAGGCTTTGTTCACCCCCCTGCCATCGTGTCCTCTAGCTCACCTGCAGCCAGTAGGTATTTCACCAACTCCAGGTGGCCCTCCTGTGCAGCCTCCATTAGAGGTGTGGAGCAACCCAACTCGATGTCTGCGCCCGCCTTGATCAGGAAGTCCGCTACTTCCAAGAAACCTCCGCAGCATGCTAGAGTCAAAGCCGTCTCCTGCGTCTCCTCCGTCTGGGCATTGATGTTAGCGCCTGAACGACAGATGAAGAACAGTTTAGTGATTAACAACTTATTTGTTTTCATGAAGTGTTAACGTGCATGTTTTCTTAAAAAAGACTAAAGAAATGTGAATTAACTTTCAGAGATGACATTCTCAATGATCTTATTTCTGATAAAAACCACAAAATAAAAAGAGACTGGAGTGTACCATTCACTGAAATGTAGAAGCGACCCTTGCTTACCTTGAGCCAGCAGCAGTGCTACCATCTCTTCATGGCCTTCTCTAGCTGCCTCCATCAGAGGTGTGTAGCCTTCATCATTTACCTGGACACAAACAGAAGCATCCGCAAATAAGACAAAGAGACCAGTATGACTCACTGCAAGGTTACTCTGTGCTGCAGCTCGTCTTCTGTGTATCCTCGGTGAGAAGAAAGCTGGTCAAGTATTCGGTACAATGTCTTGCCCACACTCAAATCTCCACTGCAGTATGTGCAGTGAATTGTTCTACGGCTACATCATTTATATGTATCGATCCTACTCTATAAAGACAATAGAACCCACTCCTGTTTTTTAATCCCTAAATTGTGTTGCTCAGGGTTCTCACACCTTCTTTAGAATCAATTATAAACACTTTAAGGACTTTCCAGACCCAGTTCCCTCAAATTCAAGGACCCAACCCGGCGTTGTTTGAGACATAGATCAAGGATAATTTCTGTTACAACACTGGGAATTTTTACTATCAGACTAGCAGGCTTTACAGAAACTCACAGGCAGCAATTTAAAAGAGAGAGGATACAATCAGTCACAAAATATAAATGCAAGCATTATTGCACTATTTCTAAATGCTTCCAAGGCCTCGATTTGTTTTTCTCAAATTCACTAAGTCTCCATGAGCCGTGGGAACCATGGCTGGTGTTTAGGTGTCCCGTCTCTTTACACACCTCCTCCAAGTTGGCTCCCCTCTCTATGAGCAGTGCTGCCAGCTCCACATGTCCTCCACAGGCTGCGAGGGTGAGGGGCGACTCGAACGAATCTGCTGGCATGTTGACCTGCGCTCCGCTGTCCAACAGCAGCCGTGCCACCTCCACATGGCCGTCCTGGGACAGCGAGACACACAGAGAATGTAGAGATAAGCACCTGAATGAATATATGGGACCACTTTATAGCAAGCCAATATAAAGACGCGCTTAACGAGTCCCAGAACCTCGAGATTCTTCACAAGCCACTTACTTACAAGGTGTGTATTTAGAAGAATATTAGAATATCTTCTTTCCCCACAACATTTGTTCCATGTATTTATTTAAAAGAGGGCATATCCCTTCGCCAATTATTTTAAAGGACTAGCCTACAATAAAACATTAAATAATGCTAAAGCCTGTGCTTTACATATTTATGTTGGGGTTTCCCCTATGTTACATTGCATTTGGTATGATTGCAACAAAACAATTGTATTTCTAAAAATAACAAAAGAACTGAAACAAAAAACAAGCAAATATAAAACAAGTGGTAGCGTGGACTGACCCTGAGGGAGAAATGTTTAGTTAAGGGTTTGGGTCAGATGCTCACCATGCACGCCTCCATTAGTGCCGTGTGCATCTCATCTGTTTTATGTTCCTGATCTGCTCCGGCCTCCAACAGAAAACGCACCATATCCAAGTGACCTGCAGAGGACAAACATCATTCATTTAATTAACATTTCTACCGCAAAGTATTAGTCCCGAGCATGTAAATGGTACGAAACCAAAATAAGATAATCACCAGGACAGACTATATTTGAGTTCTGACCTTTGTAGCAGGCGAGTGTGAGAGCGCTCTCCTTGAACTCATTGGAGTGTGTGTTGATGCCGGCGCCATACTCCAAGAGTACCCTGGCCACCTCTACATGGCCGGCACTGGCTGCCTCCATTAGAGGTGTGTGTCCGTTCTCGTTGTGGTCCTCAATGTTAGCACCCTCTTTGAGTAGCACCTTCACCACATCCACGAAGCCACCAGCACATGCGTACGTCAAAGCTGTGTTGCCTGGAAAACAGCAGAGAGTTTAATGAGCATATAGGATGGAGATTTAAAGGAAAACATTCATAACTGAAGAGGGGGTTTTACCTGTGGAGGACTGTGCGTTTACATCTGCTCCGTGGACCAGAAGTAGTTTGACGATGTCCACATAACCACCACTGGCGGCAGCCATTAGTGGCGTTACGTCTCCCTTGATGCCCCGATCCTCCACATTGGCATGCATGGCCAACAAAACCTAAGGAAGAAAGATGAAACAATGATTAGTTAAAAAGCAGGAAAGCTATTCACCACAACATTCAACTAACCATACCATTATCATTTTCTTTGAAGGATGTTTACTTTGGTGTTGTCAAATGTATAGATTTTTAGATAAACATCTTTATTTGAAGACTGTAGTTTGTTTTTGGGTTAGCCATTTGGAATGTGTGACAACCTCAGAGGCTTTTGATTGTTTGTATAATTAGACAAGTGTAATGTATTGTTAATGTTTCTAATGTTTTTTTGCTATTCAAAAGTCTAAGTTATATCCTTATAAAGTATATATTTTATCAAATTGATTGCACTCATTGTGTCAATTTACCCCCATGGTTGAAAAAGAATTGTATTGAATATCACTACAGTGTGCAGGCACATCGGAAAAATGTAAAAAACTATTATGCTAAATAACTTCTCAGTCTACCCTTTGTTTCATGTACCTGTGCAAGTTCATAGTAGCCAGCCGAGCAGGCGAGGCACAGCAGGCTCTCCCCTTCTTCTGTGTGTTCGTTGACGCTCCGTCCCTCATCGAGCAATTTACGCACCGCATTGACATCCCCATCTGAGCACGCCTCTGCTAAACTACGGCTGAAAATAACCAGACTGCTACAATTACTGCCACTGTGACAGGTGAAGACACATACGCCTCACATTTACACACGCACAAACATACATTTACATACTGTATGGGCAACCCAAAATAGAACAAAACGTGTGTACTGTACAAGGATGTATTAATGCATGACAATTTGATTATGTGTGCAAGAAAAACTGACATATGCCAGTGTCAGTAAGGGCGAGATACATACTTGTCGGCTTGGCCGGCGTTGAGTGTGTTTTCGGCCCTCATGCGCGTCAGGGCGGCTGCAGCTTCGTCCAGGGCACAGCTAACAGATGACGTCAGTCTCCGTAGCACTTCGGGGTCTGCAAAAGCTTTACCATCGGCAGTGGACAGTTTACCGATGCCTGCCGAACACCAAAAGGGCAGAGGTGCATAGGGCAAGGCAAACCACAGGGGAGCACAACCACACCAGACCAGATGAAGAAGCAAGTCCAGTCCAGCCAATCCAATCCAGGGTTAGTAGCAGCATACACAAAGAGGAAAAAGAAAGAAAGAAAGAAAAAAAAAAAAAAAAAATCACACACAGAAAACACACACAAGCATTTGTGTTAATATGGCTTAAAATATTTGTTCTACTACTTAAAATACACCATCTATGATTCATGACTCTTTTAATGGGTGGGTCAAGTGGTACAGTACAAGACCAAATCTGCTGGAATATTACGGGAATGTCCAGGTATAATCAAATCTGTGACCAGAATGAACAAAGTGAGGGAGGTCATGTTAGTCCTGTAAGCTAGTAGACATAGGATGTACATGGTTGAAGAGAAAAAAGTCTCCTTCTGTGTGAATTATAGATGGGTAAGAGGCAGTGAGTGTGAGAGAAACAGAAACTGGAGACAGTGGTCAAGAGAGAAAAACACAGCTGGTGGAAAAACAAAATGCCATATGAGAGAAAAATGTGTTTGTTTATGCGCGTGTCATGAAAAAGAAGAAAAGCCAAAGAGGACAACGAAGGGGAAGATCAAGCAGGAGGAAAACTAAAATTGCTTTTGCCCTACACTGAAAGATCTCTTTCAGAAGACATAACAAAGACTAGTACCAACTAATGAAACCATTCGAGTGTTTATGCCTTAAAGCGGCCTCTGTTTTAAGTCTTGTGTTAAAAAAGAAGGAAAAAAGACAAGAGAGTGGAAAGAAAAAGTGTCGGCTTTGAACTTTTCAGCCTCAGCGAGCTCTAGTCCTTATGGTCCTGTGTTTTCAACACTAACCCTGCAACTGGAGCTAAACTTAGCACGGATGTCAGACTACGATTTCGCAATAGTCTCGAAGGCGAGGGAAGCAAGAGGTCAAGGAAGTTGAACATTAATGTTTCATGTTTATCTCAGAAAATGCAGGTAGTTCCCTGAACCAAAACAAGCAAAGGTTACAACGCAGTTTGATCAATTGTAAATACCTTGGATGAAAACAAAGAAACCAATTGAGGAGAGTCATTATTCTAACACTATGCAATCTAAAAGAAACATTCCTATCCAAGTGGCTAGTTAGAAGTTTAGCCAATGTTTGTTTGAGAATGGCATACGCAAATATTCCGGTATAACAATTGTGTCACACTAGAAAGGAATTAAAGATGACTTGCCAGTTTTTTCAAATAAAAAAGATAGCATAATCCGCTAAATACATTTTTGTTTGTGGGGTTTTTCCGTACTTATTTGCGTTTGTGCAATTAATTTAGGTTTTTGGCCTTTTTTAAAACGTATGCATGGTTGTGTGTAGATTAGGGGTGTAACGGTACACGTACCGAAATTATTCGGTACGGGCCCTTCGGTTCGGTACACGTGTGTACCTTAGTGTACCGAACGAATATAACGTTAAACGTAAAAAATTGAGAACGTGAACAACTTCTTGGAAGTAATCTCAGGTGCTGCGTCGCAGCATTCAGAGTAATTTGCTCACATTGGGTTCAACGCGTAATAGAGCGAGCAAGTCATTTCATTGGACGAGAGGCATACTATGAGAGCTGGTCAGAGGGATAAGTTCAAATGTAGTCAGCAATTTGAGGAACTGTCGAAATGGCGAACGCAGATAAAGTTGAGCTCGAAAATCCTCCAGCATCATTGAAGTCTCCGGTTTGGGAACATTTTGGTTTCGCAGTTACGTACAAGAATGACGGACAAAGACAGGTGGACCGAACCAAAGCTGTTTGTCGGCATTGTTCAACTAAAATTGGTTACACGGCTGGCAATACATCAAACTTGCACACTCATTTGAAGGCATCACCCAAACGTGAATATCACCGGTACCAAAAGAAAAAAGATTGAAGTGCAAACCCAACTCCCTCTAGCATTTAAGCCTCCACCACTCGCAAAAAGTTCAGACCGAGCCAAAGCTATTACAAACGCCAAATATCCTTATGTTGCCATGTTAGCAAAGCGCTACCTGGCTGTATCTGCTACCTCTGTCCATAGCGAGAGGGTGTACTCCACAGCAGGAGACATTGTTAGTGCCAGCACATCTGCGCTTTCGGCAAGCAATGTGGACAAGTTCATTTTTCTTTCAAAAAACATGAAAATACAATGACAAGCAAGTCATGATGTCAAACTGGCTGCTTAGGCACTAGTACAGTAAAGTTCAAATACAGATTATTTCAGTTCATCGAAATGCTGCACCTTAATGTTTATTTTATTATATTTTGTATTTATTTGAGTGAATATTCACAGTTTAATAATAATTAAAAACCCAAAACTAATAGTTTATGTTTTGTGAGTACTAGTACAGTAAAGTTCAAATACAGATTATTTCAGTTCATCGAAATGCTGCACCTTAATGTTTATTATATTTTGTATTTATTTGAGTGAATACATTATTCACAGTTTAATAATAATAAAAAAAATATATATATATATTTTATGTTTTGTGATAATTGTTTCTGCTGTACCGAATACGTACCGAACCGAACCGTGACCTAAAAACCGAGGTACGTACCGAACCGAAATGTTTGTGAACCGTTACACCCCTAGTGTAGATGTATGGTTGTATTTGTAAATGTGTAAGAATAAAGTGAAATTAGTTTTTTATGATTTACCACCACGTATATATACACATATTTACTTTGGTTATGATTATTTTTAATTCTGCTCTTATTCAGTTTCTCTCTGTGAGCATTAATGCTAATAGCACAGGGTTGCTGGCTCCAGTTTAATGGCCACAAAAAGCATCTGCATGAGAGCGAGCTTTGCCTATAAGAGCAGGGCACAGAGGTGTCTGTATCTATGGAATCAAGTCCAAATCCAGGATGAAAGGGCTGCACAGTGTTTACCCATAACCGCTTGCTCCTGTGCTGCTACTCCCCCTAAAACTCTGACAACATCATCTTCTATCTAGTTGGGCGTTATGAGAGGTGTGAGAGATGTGTATAGCAAATGTTTTTGTTCAGATCATACAAATGTTATAATGTCTTTGTATAAAGGGAATATATAGCTTTTAGCTTTCTGATGAGGATAAAATTGTATTTCCAAGCTAATCCCAATATACAAGTGTACAAGGATGTTACCATTTAATCTGTCAGCACTATAACTACGACATAGAGGGTGTCGTTTTTTCTCATACTGATATTCTGAACAATCTGTGCTATTGTATTAGCTGTAAAGTGTCTACTGTAGGCTATTTTTATTATATGTACAGCAAAAATTGTTTATAAATGTGCTATATAAATAAAACTTGATTTGATTTTAATGCACACTGCAGCGCAATTAATGTGATAACTTGATTAAGACAGTAGTGTTCTTCAAAAGGGTGAGATGACTTCTGATAAAAATAATGTTTGATATTCAGGTGGATATCCACAAAACTTAGGTCAATCTTTAGGTACATTTTTTGCCATTTTCTTCTATAGCAGCTAGCAGTTTCTATATAGAAGCATCACTTCGTATCCAGTTCACTTTATGACCTTTTGACAAATGAGAAACATTGAAACTGCATCTCAAATACCACTGAATTCAAAAAGGTAATTCAGATATTTAAACTGAATTAGCATTACTCTGTTAATGAAATTATGACAAAGCTTTTTGTGAAATATTTATCTTACAGCTTTAAAATCAGAGTCATGTTCACTATGATGGCCTTAACCAAGATGCTTTTACTGTACACACCAATCATTTTCTGTAACAAAAATATTTAAATGCGAGCTTTTAGTGCTGGGCGGTTTCTTAGGAGACGGGGGGGACATGATGTATTCAAGGTAAGATGTAGCAATTGTAGCGCTCGTGAATCAGATAATTTATTTGCCACGCTTTTGAGCTCTATCAATAGGCTCTACAGTTCAACTACAGTTCAGAGACATAGATGTTAAAAACGCCAGCCAGTGTTGTATACCACGCACATTTATCAGATTGACAACTCCCATTACCTGTCTGAAGTTGATTTACTATTTTGACCAATCGACTTTTACTTCATTGATTTGTTTTGGGGCGGTTAAACCATTGTAATAACCAAGTCTTCCTTATGGAAAACATTCGACTTGTTTTGTTACATTGAAGTTAAATAGTTATATTCTTATGTGTATAACTTGTTTAATTTTATTATATTTCAGTTTGGATTTTCTTTTTCCTTAAAGAGTGGTTCTAAATGTTGCTTATTTGTATCCAACGAATCATCACAGTACTACATAACACCAAGTCATTGTTTTAAATCATTGTTTGTGGTTTGTACAAAAACCCTGCCCGCATTTCTTTTAAAAGCTAAGGAAACTGGAGTTAATATGTCGTAGTTTGCCTGCTGAGATTTAACAAGATATATGAATTATATTTAATTGATATCAGGACATGTAATATACACACTCATAGAAGCATGCCTGCATGATATCATTCACCAATATGGAACAACAAGGGATCCCCAAACAGAAAATGTAAGGGCTTTAGCTCCTGTATTATATTTACAGTAAACCGTTTTTGTTTATATTCAATGTTATTTTTAAAGATGTTCATGATGTCATCTATTCTATTTTAAATCCTATTTCACAACTATGCACACCCGACTAGATACATGAACTCAGCATTGTCCCAAGAATCTATTGAAATTAAAGATATTTAATGTATATTTTCCTACACCTTCATAAAGCTGCTTGGTGAACTGCTGATTGTCTTGACAGGCTTGGTATTTGGATACTTTGTTCACAGGGAATGAAGAGCGGCAGTCCAGTTCTTCCTGCCACCTCCGTTAAACAAAGACACTCTTTCCTTGCTAATACTATACAGAGAGCTCACAAATCACCTAGAAAATATCATTTTATTATAATTATTATTATGCCAGCTGTGACAGATCTTAAGCAGACAGATAGCACAAGTTGCTAACTCTTCTGTTCCCTCTGGCCGGGGAGAAAGGGCAATAGAATGAGATTAGCCATTAGCCGTTCAACACAGGCTCTCTGCATGCTGTGCAGGCTCAAGCGCGTTGCAGCGTTAATCTACCCGGTAATGTTCATAAGCCCAAACGAGGGCAGGACACCCAGCTAACGGATTAATCTACACAGACCTTCTTACACCTGGGTTACAAGTTCTAATCAAACTAATTTATCAAAATCACTTTCCAACTAGGTTCTGACATGACCCCAGCAGAACAGGCAGGTTCCTTGTGTGCCATTTCGGCTGGAGGCCTTATACAAACGAAGACCTCAACCATTGTTGGGAATTGAAAGGGATGGGGGGGCGGCTGAGACACAAAAGGCGTGGTTTTACTTAAGCACAAATTACGAATGGTTGGAGGAAAAATAGGTGTGGCCAATGAGGTACTGCTCAACTACAAATGAACAAGTGTCAAGTTAAGCTGAATGAAGTTGAGCCGAAGCATTCATACCTGCAGCTTCAAGTAGAGCTTCAAGTCGAGCCTGTGTCTCTGGATCTACCGTCCTCAAATCTACTCCATCTGTGGCGCTGGATAAAAGCAACTCTGAAGCCGTCTTCATGATGGGGTTATCAAGGTCCTCCTGGTCCAAAATGAATGACTCCACCTGCAAGACGTACAGAGAGGAGGGTCAAATAAAAAGCATTAGCCGCTTGACAGCTGTTTAGTTTCTAACCCGTCTAAAACTTGACCAGTATCTGAGGAGAATTACTTATGGGAAAGTGTTAAACCATTTGTACGTGTATCATGTTGCATTCCTTATTGTTTCCATTATTTGTAATAGAAGTGTTACCACACTCCCTATAAAAAGGGCGGAAAGGCAAGGAATTCAAAAGCCTGCACACATGGAGAGATTCAGCTGCCCAACTCCAGAACAGCAGTCTCATACCTGAGCTTCGACCCTGTCAGCTATCATGTACTAAAAACATTTTATTCTTCAAAAAAAAGCAAGCGAGTCAACAAAATGTTTCATTATTCAATTCCCCATTCTTATTTTGTTACCGTATAAATAACAGCTATACTCCCATATGTCACTGTAGAGTAAAATGTACAGATAAAGCAATAATAACATGTTTTCCATCTGACAATAACACTACCACAATTAAAACGTGTGCTAAACATAGAATATTACAGAATTAAAGAGTGATAGGACTTCGCCAAGTTCTTAGATGCGCCGCAGGTAGTTCAGGAAATTACTCACGACACATTTTCATTATGTATCCATAAAAACCAAAACAAATCTGCCTTAAAATTAAACTTTGTTGGGAAAAAGGGTTTGTATATTTTAATCTAGATGGGCATCCTCGTCTTGGTACCCAAGTATATTAACCTCTATTTACAACAATACATAACATTCACCGTTAGATTCATACCGACTAACAAACACTGTATTATCTTGGAGAAATATTTGAATCACTCATTTATCCTGTTAGGTAAACCAGGTATACTGAGCATGACAAATACCAGACATTAGAACTAACTCAGCCTTGCACCAAAGTAACCTTTTAAAACATTAACAACAAGATTTGGAATGAATTAGACATTCACATCATTCAACAATTTGCTAAACAAATTGAAAACAGTAATAGCATATGTCTATGACTATCCATAAGCTGCAGCAGGCTTTTAGGGCCAGGCCCATGGAGCAAATGTTGGGGAAAAGTCAGCATTCAGCAATGTGGAGGAATTCAGCTATACTATAGGCAGGCAGAGCCAAAACAAACCATGGGGGATGTAGTTCTACGAAGGCCTTTATAATCAACAATGGACATCAGTCTCCACTATTAATGAACTACAGTTCCCAGAGTGTTTGTATCCACAGAGCTGGAAAGGCCTAGAATGGCATCTGCTTAATCCTGGGGCTCAGATTTTAGCTGCTGCCCAGAGCAGTGAGTTCTCCACTGGAGTAAAACACCACAACAAATGCCCCCTTTCAGGCTTCAGAGGTAGGCTGTGTGAGCTAAGAAACAGGACAGAGAGGACACATCTTTGCCATTTGAGTCAATTAAGCAGCCCTAGATGCAATTGTCTCAACTTGATATCTCATTGTACTACTACACAGCTGATGCTAAGACAGACATGACCAGGCTATGTTGACATTGGTATAAGCTGACACGTTTACTGTCATGGCTGTAGTGCGTTTCAGATACCTCCGGTAATATATTAATATAATATGCATTGCACAGCAGTGCCCATTTTTTCCTCAAACTCCTTGATGATTTTTCTGACAGTCACTACTGCATTGTCGTTTAGATAACAAGGAATATTAAGTTACCATTAAAATGAAATTAAACTGAGACCTTTGATAGATTAGTGCAAATCATATTTGTATCGAGCAGTCGTTCCTGAGTTCCATTCCTGAGTCTGCTGCAGTCTTATGATATGGTAAATAAGATTACCTGACAATAGCATGACTGAAAAATCAAAACATCTTCCATATGTCAGCTCACATTAGACAAGAAATGTAAAAGATATGTTTCTTGATTATGTTTGTCAGAAATCCCCAAATAGGGGGTTTTGTCCCATTTTCACAATAACGTGACATGACAAATGTGTCATTTAGCGACAAGTGTTCTCTATCAAATATGTATACATCTGAGTAAATGTATTACATGTTTAAAGTATGTTTAGCTGAGGAGGAGATGCCATCACACCTGTCCCCGTGTGTGACTGCCAGCACATGGAAAGTTGGACACCTCTCAACATAAACTCTAGCTGCTCTCAAATGTGACAACGCAAATCAAGTTGACACAGTGGTGGCAACTATCCGACAAAAAGAGGCGAAGGATGAAAATACCTGACTGGTTTATTTGTCAACACCTCCTGTCAGAATTTCAACGAGTTTCGAGAGGAACGGGCTTAATCTATACGTATCGAAAAGTTAGCTGACGGACGATCGGAGTTAATTTACATGATTTGGAAAAGTGACGTAATTGCACCACAACTACGAAATGGCAGATAGTTAGCTGGTCGTTTAGGTCCCCGGGTTAACGAGCATCTTCCATTTTCTGTGTCTGGAAAGCTGCTGGTAGAGCTGCAAACTTGTGATGGGTGTTACGAGACGACAGCACCGAACGAGGCCGTCGTCCCTTCCACCCGAACTAGGCCGTGGTCACAGCCTGCGCTGCATAAATAAAACATTTCAGCCGCTCAGCGTGAACAACTGCTTGTGCTTCACCAAACATTATCGACATTAAACACTCCATAAGCATCTGAACTGACAGGAGGTGTTGTTAGGGTAAAGTGCTGGCTTATTTTACGTAATTTCAGCGGCCTGGGAGGGGGTGGTTGCCAACTGCGAGCTAACTCGCTAGCTAGCCGCGCTAGGAGAGGAATGTTGCCTAGCTCTCTGGTTAGGCTTAGCTAACTAGCTTAGCTTAGCGTAGCTACCTCTGAAACCTCGTCTTCGTCGCTGCCGGATCCTGGACCCGAGGAGAGGACGGCCGCGGCCGCCAGTTTGAAATCCAGTCTTTCTGCTGCAGGCCCACCTGGTTCGCCGTATAAACGTACTTTCTTTCCGCCTACACCAATCCCAATGCCCCCTAGTCCGACTCCTCCTGGTGTCGCTCCTACCCCCATCCCTGCCACTGGGGAGCGAGGAGTCACCGAGTCAATCTCGTCCTCGAAGCCGTCCGTCAGCATTGCCGTCCCGGCTACTGCATCCTGCATACTTCTGTTCACAATACGTGTGTTCACGAGCTAGTTGGTGACGTAAACGTCCGTCCAAGCTCTTTCTTCTTGGATATTTGCGTGATTTTACTTCAGGGAATCCAGAAACTCTCCCGAAGCGAGGGTTGAGGAGGATCTCTTTCCCCCAGCCATTAACTTTCTAACAACCTAACCCGATACGCACTGTTTCTCAGAACGACCGCCTCTGTTGGAAATCCTGGGAATCCTATTGGTTGAGCAGGAATAAACTCAGTTTTCAATTGGTCGAAGTATATGCTTGTCAAACATTAGACCGCAACGTCATGTTAGGTTTACCAATATCACGAGGCTGTAGAACGAACGTCAAGACATGACATGGTATGGTAGGCCAACTTAACTGGTAGCTAGCTTTATAGTTCATGTAAACTCTTATTGGGGAAGCACGTTTATAGAAGGACTACTCTGACAGTGAATTGGAACATGTTATACATTTAAATGTCTAATTGTATGTGATCTTTATTGATTATAAATATCAGTGTATGACACTACCTCACACATTCCATATGCTCTATCTAATTTATAGCGTTAATGTGACAGTGAAAAATATAATATATACTTTACAAGAATAAAAAGAGGATAGTTTAAGGGAGCATGATACTAAATAAACATACACCAACTCACCTTAAAAACAAGAAAAAAACAATGATTCCCTCGGATCATGATCTCGCTTCTTAATAAACATCTTAATTGGTGCATATTTAATGTCTTGCAGCCATAGACTGTATTGTTGCAGCAAATCATCAAACCGCAATACCATGGTATCCTTTGTCCTTTTGTTCAATCTGAGGTGACGTGGGTGACAGAACAGAATTAAATGCACAAACTACTGACACAAAAACACTGGCCCTTTGGTGCAAAAACGTTTATTTTGAAGTATTCACAAATGCAAAAGTATTTACCTTAACCCTAGTAAATGTTTGGTCTCTAGAAAGCCTTTGCTCTTTATATGTTGTTTTATTATATCATATGTATGTATCAGTTTAGGAGAGGATGGAAATACTAAAACAGGTAAATTTCACTTTTTTGTTTGAATTCTTTTCAAATAATATGAACCAAGCAGTATTTTAATTTTGCAAATGATCCAGGCAGTGGCAATTCCAGCTACTCTAGCCAAGTTTGATATACATGAATGGATCATATTAAAAGACTAAATTACGTTTAACAAGGGTAAAATGTGCAATATTTCCCTCTAAATATACGTGTTTTAGGAGTAGATATAAAAAGCAGAAAAAACATATTGAATATTTAAGTAAAATACAAGTAATTCAAAATTATACTTGATTAGATTATTTTAGACACATTAGAGTTTAGAGGCGACCGTTTTTATTTTGTCATGCCACTGCCACTTCAAGGGCACTTCTGAAGTTTCGGAAGGAACTAAAACATATTTTGCATCAATCCAACAAGGGAAATCTCTGTTTGACCTATTGCTACGTTTGTTAGTTTTGGGCTGCCATCACACCAACAGCTTGGAGAAGCTTGTTGTTTACATTGTGAGTGCTGCTTGTTCACTTTTCTTGTCCAAATGTTCTGGTCCCATTTGTTACCAAAACCAATTGACCAAGGCTGAATAAGGTCATGATAAGCTTATACATTTGCATCATCATCCAAAAAAAACCTTCAAAATCAAGGTTGTCTAGTGGTCTTTTTGAGTGGGTTTGAGTGTTGTTGTTTTATGTTGAAAAAGCTGAAATCATCCCAAGTTACTGACCACTGTAAAGTTGGATAAGAAGGCCAGGAGATGCACCCGGCCCGCACAGGGCCTTGGGCAGCTACGTCACAACGTTTGGGCGTGGACGCCTCCTATTCAGATACGGTTGCCAGGTTTGTATAAAACCCGTACTTTTTTGTCAATTATTAGATTCAAACCCAAACATATAATAGGACATTTATAAAACACAAATTATTGTTGAAATTTGACACATTACAAGACAAAGCAAGATACAAGTAATTAACCCAATCGTTTTTTGAAGGTTTGATGGTAATCTAGGGCTGCGCGATTAATCCATTTTCAATCGAAATCGCAATATGCATTATGTCATTTTCAAATCAGAGGATGCGCAATATTGATGAATGCTGAAAAAATGTTTGATGTACCATTTTGAATAAAGTCTTGTGAAGCACCAGTGATATCCCGGCATACAAATCATTTACTACAAACTTAACAAAACAATACATTAATAAATAAATAATACTAAAAGGATTTTAACATGTATTTTTTATAATAATGAGAATTTTGGTGCAAAATGATCAACCCCTTCAATATCCTGAATCATATCGCAATATAAATATGAGTCAAAAATGATTGCCCCTTTTGTGTTCTTGTTTTTACAAATCGCGCTGCCCTAGTTGAATGACGTGACTGTGTTGCAGTTTGGAACAGAGGAGAGTTTTAGTGAAGTGCGTCGTTAGGAAGGCTATGAAAAGGGGGTAGTTGGGGAGTTCTGGCAACCCACCTCAAGGTTTCAGCTGCATCACGCAGGTCTGGTCAAGTGGTCATACATACTCCGGCGTGTTGCATCTACTCTACTATCAGGTAAATTGATTCATGCAACTATTCATTGACTTAAACACATGCTTACTTCATAAACTTAAGATTGCACCACATAGCTACCATTGTGTATATGAGATTATAATATAATGCCGTTAGTAAGTGAATGCTTTCGTTTGAGCTAGCTAACTGCTAAAGCTAATAACATGGCGCCGGGTGAGAGGGCCGCTTTTGTTCTTGTGGTCCGGGTGCGGTAGTAAGCGTGCTGAGGGCCACGCACTCTTATCAAAAATGAATGAAATCCTAAATGACTAATTAATTATTGGACGTCTGTGTACTCTTTAACATTTATCGAAACCCATCAACATCAGAATTGTTGTCGAGTAAAAGTTATTTAGCCACACATTGTTGTTAGCTCACGTTAGCTCACGTTAGCTGGCAACGACCCGGGTTCGCGGTTTAAATGAAGAGTCTAACTGACGATGAGCTGGTAGTAAAGCAATTGTAACAAAGGCACGCTATTTGTTTTTTTTAGGCAACAACATTCTTTGTAACATTGAAAAACCACAACATTGTTATTTTTATTGATTTGGTTCATAACGATACCCGTTAGCAATATCAAACGGTCTCAAGATGGCGCTGCCAACTTATTCACATTTAACGTCTTTAAGATGTATAGCAATTTAGTTTAGACAGAAAACGTTAGTTCAAGCATGTTATACACAATTGTACCGATACGGTAGACCTGCAGGCGTTTAAGAAAAATTGCACTAAATTCCCCTATCTGATGATAAGTACGGTGTTCTTGTGATTTACTGAGACACTAATGGAAAACTAGGTTGTTGAATAAACACCTCAACAGAAGATTTTATCCGTATCCCCATCATACTTAATACTATGTGTTTCCCCCTCAGGTATCTTCAACAGTCATGGCTGATGAGGGATATGTCGTGCGCATCAGGGGTCTCCCATGGTCCTGCTCAGTGGATGAAGTACAGAGGTTTTTCTCAGGTAGTTATCTATATATTATTGTTATGTCATTAAATACCTAGAGATATAATATTTATTATACGAAGTGACTCAATGGAACACATTCCCTATACAGAGAGCAAAATCATCAGCAGTGGAACTGCCATCCATTTCACCTACACAAGAGAGGGGCGTCCCAGTGGAGAGGCCTTTGTGGAGATGGAAACAGAGGAGGACTTGAAGATTGCTGTGAAAAAGGACAGAGAAACTATGGGCCACAGATATGTAGAAGGTGTGCAAACTTGCTTTTAGATTGCGACTCCTTCTGTGAGTTGTCTCAACTTTTTTTGCTGTGATCGCTAATGGTTATGTGTCCTGTGATACAGTTTTTAAATCCAACAATGTCGAGATGGACTGGGTCATGAAGCACACGGGTCCAAACTGTCCAGAAACAGCAGGAGATGGGCTCGTCCGGCTCCGAGGCCTTCCCTTTGGTTGCAGCAAGGAGGAGATTGTTCAGTTTTTTTCAGGTAAGGATGCGCCATGCTCAGTGGTTAATGGTAAAACTGCTTTAATGTATGTTGGTTATGTTCGTTTTTCTTCTTCCTTTTCTTGTTTCCTTTCTCCTGTGGACCCTTAACCAATTCTTGCATCTGATTTTACAAAGATGTCAATATGCCACTGGAAAATGATTGTAACCTTCTTTATTTTTTGACATAGAGTAGTAAAATAACATGTTTTTGGATTTGTGATCAGTGAGGAAATGATGCCAGAAAAGGAAACTGGTTACACTTGAATTGAAACAACTATTTAAATACTTTGTTTAGTTCAAGGGCAGGAATCTGTAACGCAAAACACCCCCTTCCCATCCTTGCCCATCATATCCATGTTCAGCCCATTTCATCGCTATTTTCTCTTTATCGGTTCTGATATTTCAAAACGGCATAGTTTTAATATCTCTGTTTTTAATATTTGGTTTAAATGTTATCTGTTTCTGCTGGTAATTTACTAATGATGGAATGGGTCTCACTCACTGATTAGACGGTCTCTTACCTAACCATTTATTGTTTAATTTACTCACAACCTATTTGATGCATTTTCTTAAATGAACTGTACAGCGAGTGTTGCATTGATTCTAAATGCACAAGAAGTCATTTTAACCCTTATCACCAACCAGGTTCTTTCTCTCTCTTCATCAACACACCAATACTAGCCCGATGTCCTACACAGTGCCCTTTTCCATATTCTTCCTCTATCCTCTCATTTCTCCCCAACGTACAATAAATAAAAATCATTTATATGGCCAGTCATTGTTAAAATAAATACTGACCTGGTATGTGTGATGATGTATAGAGTTTTCCATAAGTTTTCTATCTCTCTTTAGAGAATCTTCTCTCTGTGATTGGGCATGTGATTTAATATGTCCCCTGCTGTCCTTGGGTTGAAGGGTTGGAAATCGTGCCAAATGGGATAACATTGCCGGTGGACATCCAGGGGAGGAGTACGGGGGAGGCCTTCGTGCAGTTTGCTTCACAGGATATAGCTGAAAAGGCTCTAAAGAAACACAAGGAAAGAATAGGGCACAGGTGGGGATGGTTGGTTGGTTGGCTGGATAAGTTGCTTTTCTTATGGTGTGCACTCTCAACATCTGAACCAAATGCAAAAC